ACATACGGCCTCCACCTAGATTTCAAAAAAAAAAAAAAAGTGAAAGACACGCTTGAGAAGTGCATTATTTCTAAAAATGCATTCCTCTTTTCCAAAAAACAGCAGAGTAATAGATGCATGGGTTCCATGGTAGTCTGGGTTTGTAAGAAAACTGTTTCTGTTGTACATATAAAGAATTAAAGGGCGAGATGAATGTTATGCCTGGAGGCTTAGAGTCTAATGATAAATTTTTTTGAGTTCCTGGTATGGAGGACTCCCCTAGAGAAAAAAAAATATGATGGCAAGATTTATTTCAGGTGGAGTCATTCATGTTGTATTATCCCATGGAGAGAGAGAGAGAGAGAGAGAGAGAGAGAGAGAGGGAGAGAGAGAGGGAGAGGGAGAGGGAGAGGGAGAGGGAGAGGGAGAGGGAGAGGGAGAGGAGAGGAGAAGGAAAGAGTGATGGATGGAAAGAGGAGGGGAGAGAATTGAGAGAGAAGGGAGAAGCAGACAGAGGGGGAGTTAAAAGAGAAAAAGACCAGTGGAACAATAAATGAGAGGAATTATAACTTGCTGTGAGGTAGAGACAGTGAGATGAGTTCAGAATGTAAAATTCAGCATGTAGACAGTATCACCGGCCAAACCTAAAATGAAAGCCTCATCCATCAAAGCCCAAAGAGTTCTGAGAAAGGTTCAATATGTACTAACCTTGCTTTTTAGGTTCTGTATTTCTACTTCTGGTTAACTGAAATATGAACCCAAAACATGGTTTTTGTGCTTTAAAGTTCCCCATGAGAAAGTCTCAGTGCCACACTGGGGTTTCAAACATGCACTGTAGTTGCCAGCTGGCTAATAAAGACTTTATTGGTTTAAACCTATGTCTGAGCAGTCTTCTCTGGTGAATAACCCACAACATTGCCTACCCATATCACATTAGGACTGATAAATTTAGGAACTAAATCTCTAGGTCAGGTTTTGGGGAAACATATTTAAACTATAGCAGACATTATCCTTTACACAATTTTCTTACTGAAATTATTTTGAAAACAGCACTTGCAAAGTAATCTTTATTTTTTAATTTGTTTATTAACATTTCTACCTCCTCCCCTCCTCCCATTTCCCTCCCACTTCCCCCACTCCCCCTCCCTGTCCTAAAAATTCACAATTTTATTTCTCTTTCTTTTCTGCATATAGGATTGTTTTAAGGAATTTCTACAATATGAGTTAGTGCCATGAATTGCCTTTGTTTGTTTGTTTGTTTGTTTGTTTGTTTTTGAGACAGTGTTTCTCTGAGTAGCTTTGGAGCTTGTTCTGGAAATAGCTCTGTAGAACATGGGGGTCTCAAACTCATAGAGATCCGCTAGTCTCCGCCTCCTGAGTGCTGGGATTAAAGGCATTTGCCACCACTGCCCAGCTAGAAGGCCTTTATTTCTCTTTTAATTCTAAATGTTAAATTTACTGGAAATAGTAACTTATGCCGGGAGTTATTTTCTTTCTGTATCTGAAATATATCATTGCAAGAGTTCTAAGAATTTATAGTTTCTGCCTAGAAATCAAAAGTTATCATAATGGTTTCCATTCATAATTGAATTGTCACATCTCTCTGACAACTATCATCATTGTATTTTTTTTGTACTCTTGGCAGTTTAACTGTAATGTAACATAAAGTTCCATTATGTTTATGTCTTTTTGGCATTCTAAATAGTTCTACTACTTTGATGTTTCTCATGATTTGAGAAAATTTCTGCTATTATTTCACTAACTATGCCTGTTAAGCTTTTAGCATAAAGACTGTGTACCTTATCTAAATGTATTTTTTAAATTTTTTGATGTTTGACAGTTTCATACATTTATAATAATGAATGTTAGTTGCTTTCAATACCATTTCACTTTCTTATCCTCTTCCATTCCTGCCTGCTTCTTCTTAAAGGTAGTTCTTCTCACCACACACACACACCCTTTCACATCTTCCCTTTATGTGTGGCCCTCTGATTTTAGTTAGTTTTTTGCCCAAGTTTGGTTGTGAGACTATTAACTGAAATGAGGTTAATATCCCCATGGTGTCTCAAAGATCTTATATGTAGTTTCTTTTTTTTTAATTTTTAATTTATTTATTTATTAAAGATTTCTGCCTCCTCCCCGCCACCGCCTCCCATTTCCCTCCCCCTCCCCCAATCTAGTCCCCCTCCCTCTTCAGCCCGAAGAGCAATCAGGGTTCCCTGCCCTGTGGGACGTACAAGGACCTCCCACCTCTATCTAGGTCTAGGAAGGTGAGCTTCTAAACTGCCTAGGCTCCCACAAAACCAATAGGTGCAGTAGGATCAAAAACCCATTGCCATTGTTCTTGAGTTCTCAATAGTCCTCATTGTCCGCTATGTTCAGCGAGACCGGTTTTAACCCAGGCTTTTTCAGACCCAGGCCAGCTGGCCTTGGTGAGTTCCCTATAGAACATCCCCCTTGTCGCAGTGTAGTTTCTTTTCATTAATTCATAACTCAATCTATGATGGCCTTTCTTCTCTTTTCATTTAGAATTGTGGTGAGATTTTTAGATTTTTAAAACTTAGAGCATGCAGGTTTTAATTTTCAAGATTTCTATAGCTTCCAGTATCATAATCACTATTTCATGAATTCTTCTTTCACACTCTTATCCTTCCATTAATATGAATAATTACCTGTTATATTTATATTCACTCTATATTCACTAGCCAGCCATATTTGATAGTATGTGTTGGGGATTTTTTTTTTTTTTGGCCTGGAAATTTATCTATTTGGGTATCTTTTGATTCATTTACTGAAGACATATATACTTTAGGAGAATTCATGTTGTTACATTCATTCTTTGTGTGCTTTGTTTTGATGTTAAAGCTTTTGTATGCTTGGAGATGAATGCTTCTCCTCCATTTTTATATAGAAGTGGCTTTATATTGAACAGCCCTCTCTTGTGTACTTGAACTCCAGTACCACCCAGAAAAAGCAAACCAAAGTAATCACAACAATACCAAAACAAAAGACATAAAGAAATAAAATGAAAAATAATGGAAAACAATACCTGTATTACCAAGCATCAGAGCAAAGAAGGTGAGAGAAATTATATAGAATAAATGAAAAAAATATTAAGTGACAAATTAATAAAATAAAAATGGATGTAGTCCATGGACAAACAATAAACAGAAATGGGGAATATATAAGAAATAAAAAAATAACAACAGATTAAATCTAAGCCAATTAAAGAACAAAGATCAGTGTGTTGCAACTCTATTTTCTGGACATGACAAGGTCATTGCACACATCAACAGAGAAACAATTATGAAGACCTGCATTAAACTGGGATTTTCAACATTCTGTCATGAGGGTGAAGAGGCTTATGGAGTACCACCCCCTATCTGAGGAACTTTTGACCATTAATGGTTGCTATTGGAAGAGGTGTAATTTTCTTCAGTGGTGTAACTACTGTGCCAAGCAAATACACCAATAAATAACATCCTACCTATATTCATGCAAGGAACACCAGGAAAACTGAGAGGCCAATAAAAAAGTTGACATAAATGTAATAGGAGAACTCACTGGGAAATAGTAACATAACAGCATGTATGGAAGGAGGTTAAAATGGGATAATGAAAGGTGAATATTATCGCAACACATTGCATATTGCGTGAAAGTGTCAAAAATAAATGTAAATTTAAAAAAAATTAAAAGCCTAAAGTACTACTGCATGGCCATCATCAAGAAGTTCAGAAGGATATTGAGATTGTGAATTAGAAATAAACTTAGGCTACTTAAGTTGACAGTCCCAAAGAAAAATTCTGAACACAAATGGCATTCGATATTGGAGCACGTATTTCACACAAAAACTGAAAAATCTTTCGAAATGTTCCAGACACACAAATGCAGAGCCAAATGCAGCTTCATAGTTTCACAGTCTGTCATGCAGGCCAAAGGACAGGACTGTGTCTCCTGGCCATTGCCTTTGGGCTCGAACTGTCAGCTCACCATGAGCTAAGCTGCATGACCATTTAAGGTTTTGCTTAAACAGACGGGCAAAAAATCTCTAACTAGGTTACAGTGTGTTTAACAATATGCATAGGCTTAAGAATGAAAAATGGTATAGACAGTCATAAAAAATAAACAGTTTCAAAATAATAAAGTCTTTAAAGAGAAAAGTAAAGTAATAAAAAATAGTAAGTCACATAAGAATGGGAAATATTATAACACAGGGAATCTGGATCCTATATGGTGCTTTGTAAATTTTAAATCTTTTGAATGCTATCAAACAGACAACAGCTGCCTGCAAGACATTGAATCATGAATGAGAATTCTGAAATAAACCAGCATATATACTTTAATAATGCCTTAAATTTAAAATCAAAGTAAAAAATGTATGATGTTGGGGAAGAGGTTATGCTTTTGCTTCAACAGGAAACAAATGACTGTGAATTTTTTTCCAGGTTAATAGAGATCAGATTTGACCAATGAAGACCTCCTGAGTATCTTGGCTATAGACATGGGGGAGGAAGCCAGGAAAAACTAAAAGACAAGTGACATGTAAGCTGATCACTCTGCATGGGAACAGCTCAGAGATAAGATGAGATATGGTAAATCTTGTTGGTTACAGAGTACTCACGACTTACTGCCATCCTTTCATATGGATGGATAGAGATCTATATTACAATTTGGTTATGCAGTGCAAATGGACTTATACTGGTGATAGATGCCTCTGACTTGCTTAAACATGGAAAAAAAAATCTTTAACTGACATGAACACCAGACATTCCATATTTGTGTTAATGTAGATATGTATGTTATCTTTAAAAGTTTTGTGTTTTCAGAGCAAGGCAACCAAACACCAATAAAAACAAGTGACCCAAGTGACTTTACCATTTTCTTAATTTTCTCAGGGCCTCCTAACGATGTCATCATTGCAGACAACAAAAATGAGGCTAAGAAACATGACACCCACATTCCCAAGAGTAGGGTGGATAATTTTTGGTCATTTGATGGGTTATGGATGTTTGTCATTGTTTAAGGGGGTTGGTTACAAGTTGTTACTGGTAATGGTTAAGAAAAAGATCTTTACCATAGAACCTTCAACCAGCGATGGATGGAGATAGAGACAGAGACCCACATTGGAGAACTGAACTGAGCTCCCAAGTTCCAGATGAAGAGCAGAAGGAGGGAGAAGATGAGCAAGGAAGTCAGGATGGCGAGGGGTGCGTCCACCTATGGAGACAGTGTGACTGATCTAATGGGAGCTCACCAAGGCCAGCTGGACTGGGACTGAATGAGAATGTGATCAGACCAGACTCTCTGAACATGACTAACAATGGGGGCTGACTGAGAAGCCAATGCACTGGGTTTTGATTCTATTGCATGTACTGGCTTTTTGGGAGCCTAGTCTGTTTGGATGTTCACCTTCCTAGACCTAGATGGAGGGGGAGGATCTTGGACTTCCCACAGGGCAGGGCACCCTGACTGCTCTTAGGACTGGAGAGGGAGGGGGAGTGGGAGGGAAATGGGAGGAGGGGAAGAGGTGGAAATTTTAATAAATAAATAAATTTTAAAAATCTTAACAAAGGAGATTATAATCAGGGATCTCCTTCTGAAAGAAAAATGGGGGAGTATAGAAATGATGGGATAAAGGGTAGATAATTGAATCTACTTTTAAACTAAAAAAGCAACTGCCAGTAGTAAATATTTTATAATAGTATAGATTTTGTATGTTGTTACAAATTTAAGGTTATTTTTGTTATGCTTTATATGTTTTTACTCTTATTTAAGGTATTGTACCTATGCAAACCATATTAAAAGGTTATATAAAATTTTAAAAACTATACTATTAAAGAAACACAAGTTAGTAGTCATCTATAAAAATCAAACTTATGGTCATGTTAGGTATGTTTTCAAAGTCAATTAGATATATTTTAAATAAACTGATGATCTTCAAGTACTTGAAAGGTCTACAGAATATGGCATTTAAACTGTTTTAGTAACATAAGGCTTTTCATAACCATGAGGCATATATGCTCCTGGCAGCACCAATTTACTTGGTAAAAGGATGTTGGGCATCAAAGAATCTCCATATGGATTTGCTTTCTTTGAGGCAAAAGCTACCCATTAGGGCAAGATATTGCCCTTGCCTCAACTGCTGGCAATGTGTGTATGCGCCTAGAAATACAATCTTCCCAAACCCAAATACCTAGACACTAGTGAAAAAAAAAAAACAATCAACAACAGGGCAATATGTCTCTACTAGATCCCAACTAGCCTACCACAGCAAGTCCAGACTACACCAACATAGCCAAACCACTATAAAAAGAACTTAAAACTAACTATATGAAGATGAAAAAAGTCCTTAAAGTAATCCAGGGAAACACAAACAAAGAATATAAGGAAATAAATTACACTGTTCAAGACCTGAAAATATAATAAAAAAAAACTGAGGGAATTCTGTAAATGAGAAATGTAGAGTTTCAAACAGTCAAGCATCATGAACATAACACAAGAGATGGAAGAGAGAAGATACGATAGAGGAAATGGAAACATCAGTCAAAGAAAATATTAAATCCAAGGAAACTGCTGACACAAAACATCCAGGAAATCTGGGATACTATGAAAAGACCAAACCTAGGAATAATAGGAATAGAGAAAGGATAAGAAACACAGTTCAAAGGCCTAAAATATATTTTTAATAAAACCATAGACGATTGGACAAGAAAAGAAAGTACACTAGGCTTATAATAACCAAAACACTAAATGAAAGGAACAAAGAAAGAATATTAAAAGCTTCAAGGAAAAAAAAAGACCAAATAACATAAAAAAGCAGACCTATTAGAATTACACATGACTTCTCTCAATGGAGACTCTAAAAACCAGAAGTTCATGCACAGATATAATAGTATACATAAATGATCCTAAAAATTCTGCTAGGGAACTCGTATAAACACTTTCAACAAAGTGGCAGGAGACAAGGTTATCTAAAATAATCAGTATCCCTTCTATATACAAATGACAAACAGGCTGAGAAAGATATCAGAGAAACAACACCCATCATAATTATTCATAAATAATATAACATATCTTGGAAGTAACTCTAACCAAGCAAGTAAAAGACTTGCATGATAAAACTTCCAAGTATTTGTAAAAAGAAACTAAATAAGTTATCAGAAGATGAAAAGATAACCCATGCTCATGGATCTGCAGGATTAACAGTGAAAATGGCCATCCTACCAAAAGCAATGTACAGACTCAATGCAATTCTCTTCAAAATTCCAAGACAATTTTTCACAGACCTTGAAAGGACAATTCTCAATTTCATATGGGAAAACAAAGAAACCAGGGTAGCTGAAATAAACCTGAACAACAAAAGAACTGCTGGAGGTATCACTATTTTCATTTCAAGTTTTACTACAGAGCTATAGTAATAACGATTACTATGTTATGACAATATGCTATTGTCATAACAACTGACACATTAATCAATGGAATTGAATTGAAGGCCTGAACATAAATCCAAAAAACTCATTGAAACATGAATTTGTATAAAGAAGCCAGAAACATACACTGGAAAAAAAGACTGCACCTTTAACAAATGGTTCTGGTCAAACAAGATGTCTGCATGTAGGAGCATGAAAATAGATCCTTACTTACCACTGTGTACAAAAGTCAACTCCAAATTGATCAAAGACCTCAACAAAAAGCAGATATGCTGAATACGATAGAAAAGAAAGTTGAGAATAGCCTTGAATGCATTGGCTCAGGAAACAGTTTCCTGAATAGAACACCACTAGCACAGACACTGATACTGACAATTAATAAATGGGACCTCCTGAAACTAAAAAAACTTCTTTCTGTAAGTCAAAGGACACTATCATTTCTACAAAGTGGCACCTACCAAATGGAAAAGGAATTTTTTCCAACTCCACATCCAATAGAGGACTAATATCCAAAATACATAAAGAACTCAAGACATACATAAAATATAATAAAATTGCAATAAATAATCTAATTTATTAAAAACACTAAGGTACAGATTTAAACAAAGAATTTTCTTTTTTATTTTTTTTTTATTGAGAATAGGAAAAAAAAGTTTCCGCCTCCTCCCAGTTTCCCATTTCCCTCCCCCTCCTCCCACCCTTCTTCCCCTCCCCCCACTCCTCTCCCCCTCCCTCTCCAATCCAAAGAGCAGTCAGGGTTCCCTGCCCTGTGGAAACATTTCTTTAAGTATTTCTCAGCCACTTGAGTTTCTTCTATAGAAAATTCTTTGTTCCCTGCCCTGTGGAACAAAGAATTTTCTATAGAAGAAATTCAAATGGCTGAGAAATACTTAAAGAAATGTTCAACATCTTTAGGCATCAATGAAATGCAAATCAAAATTACTTTTAGTGTCTTTTTTTTAATTTTTTTTATTATGTATACAATGTTCTGTCTGTGTGTATGCCTGCAGGCCAGAAGAGGGCACCAGACCTCATTACAGATGGTTGTGAGCCACCATGTGGTTGCTGGGAATTGAACTCAGGACCTTTGGAAGAGCAGGCAATGCTCTTAACCGCTGAGCCATCTCTCCAGCCCCTACTTTTAGTTTCTTACATTAAGATGATAACACAAATGACAATTTGTGCTGGCCAGGATGTGGAATAAGATGAGCACTCATTCCTTGCTGGTGGGAGTGCAAACTTGTACAGCCACTATGCAAATCAATACAGCATATTGTTTTCCTCAGAATACTGAGGATCGTTCAATCTCAAGATGCAGTCATACCACTTTTTGACATATACCTAAAGGGCACTTCATCCTACCACAAAGACACTTACTTGCTCAATCATGTTCATTGCTGCTCTGTTCATAATAGCCAGAAATTGGAAAGAGCTTAGATGTCCCACAACAAAAGAATGGATTTAAAAAATAAATAAAAACCTTTGACAGATTTACACAATGTAGTATTATTCAGCTGTTATAAAATGTGACATCTTGAAATTTGCAGACAAATGGATTGAACTAGAAAAAAAAATTCTTAGTGAGGCAAACCAGACCCAGAAAGATAGATATGGTACATATTCACTTATATATAGATATCAACCTAAAGTAAATGATAACTAACCTACAATCAGAAGACACAGAGAGTTTAAGTATAGTGGAAGGGCATGGGGGGGGCACATATATCTTCCTGGGAAGGGGGAAATATAATTGATTTTGTGGGTGGACTGGGCACAGGTTGGGATGTGAATGACAGGATCAGGTGTGAAGGGGGATGGTAGATAGGGTTGAGAGTGGGAATGCAGAGAAAGAAAAAAATAAAAATTACAAACTTCTAAGATTATACAAGTCAAGAAGTATTTACTTAAAGATGTGTATCTAATCATTTATGTCTTTACTAACTTTGTTAGGCTTTAGCCATTTGGAGAAAGAGATTCATATAACACTCTGTAAAAGTACACTATAAAAAATTGGGAAATGAGATTCTCATTCTGTCTATGGATTTTTATCTATGATTTAATGTTTATTTTGATACTAAAATAATTTCAAGTCAAAATTATAATTCTTAAGGCTTAAAATCTTAACAGGAATAAAAGTATAATGTCTTGACCGTATGAGAGTTAATGCTTTATTGAAAATGTTAAAAATAATTAAGACATAAACTTTAATGATTAGTCACCTTGTAAATGATCAAATCCTTTAACGCACTCAGAACTATGTTTATAGCTATGCTAAGTACAAATGTAATTCATTGAGAGGGACAAGCTCAGAAGGAGATACCAATTTATATCTTCCACTATATAGTCTTCAATGTATGTTATCAAATTTAAGCCTAAAGCAATTAGGTCAAAAGAAGTTTAAAACCAACTTAAAGCTAATTTAATCTGAAGTAATATCTAGAATCAGGTGTATTTAGAAAATATTATAAAAATTAAATATTTAAATATTGTGGGTTAATTTATATTACACCAGCATGGCAGAACATCTCCAGGCTCAAATAGTAACCTTATCTTGGATGAGGCATGATCCCAACAGAGTAAGTTGCATGGAGCTTTCATTACAGCAAAAGGATGCTTGAGGAAATAAGCATCTCCAACTTTGTAAGTATGAGAAGTTCCGGTTATTGCCAGACCATGAAACAACTTCTTTATTTATAGGGAAGAGAAATTACATCTCATGCCTCACACGACAGGAGGATGTATTCTCTTGCCGAGTGTTAGTTAGCTAGAGCCTTCACCACATCCTTAATTTCTAGATAATAGAGAGGCAAATAGTAATTACTCTGCCCTCAACATCTCCCAAAATGACATATGAGGATGTTATGAACAGGGAACCCTTGTATCTAAGCCTCCCACTCAACTGGTATGGGAACTGCGTGTTAATTCAATTTGGCATGCTCTTTACCCTGGTTTTCAATTATTCCTCTTAGCGAAAACCAATTCCAGGGCCTATACCCTATCCCCCCATGTTCTCTGATTAAATGAGGCTGCTAAATATTACTTTATTTGTAATTTATGTTATTTTTTCTCATAAATAAGATATTTAATTGGGGTAGCTTACTTAGAGTTTCAAAAGTTCAGTCCATTATCATCATGACAGGAGCATGGCAGAATGCAGGCAGATGTAGTACTGCAGCTGAGAGTGATATTGATAGAGGAAACAGGAAGTCAACTGAGACACTGGGCAGTAACCTGAGCATAGGAAACCTCAAAGCCTGCCACCACAATGACATACTTGCTCCAACATGGCCATACCCACTCCAACAAAGCCAGGCTTCCGTAATAGTGCCACTCCCTATGAGATTATGGGGGCCAACTATGTTCATACTACCAGTAAATAAATAAAAGATTCCAAGAATTACAACTTGTGGCTGGAGATATGATTCCTTTGTTAAGAACATTTGTCCAGGGCAGATGGCCAGCCTGGCTTGTCGGGCTCCAGATCCATGAAGCCCCCAGGAGGAGAATCGGGCAATCTTTTTGAAAGTCCAGAAGAAGGTGTTCCTTCAAGCAAACCTAATAGGATTGCATTTAATATTTCTGGACCAACTGAAGAACCTAAAAACATAACGAAGCGGACAATTACTGCAGGGGGCAAAGGAAGTGGTATCTTTGATGCATCGACTCCTGTGCAGACTCGACAGCGACTGAACCCACCTGGTGGGAAGACTAGTGACATATTTGGGTCCCCAGTCACTGCCACTACACCCCTGGAACACCCAAACAAGCCCAAGGATCATGTTTTGCTATGTGAAGGTGAAGACTCTAAATTTGACCTGAGAGATA